GGTCCCGACTAATCTGGAATCGAGCCGCGTCGGACCCCATTAGGGGGGAAGCTCTCCCAGCGCCTGTTTCTCCATTCACAAGACTCGAACTCGAGACCTTGCTTAAGGGGAACCGAGCTCCTTCCACTCGGCCCAACAGATCGTTGGTATCGAACTTCAGTATCTGTCTCTTGTTTTGGAAAGCTTTGGAGGATTTGAAAGAGGCTTAGCTCAAATCATGTCCGCAATGTCTAAGCCTAAGCCAGAACTTTGTTTAGGTTCGTCTTGGTATATTGTAGATCATATGTTCTTGGAAGATTTTAATTCTCAGATTTCGTATTAGATAAATTTTTTAACAATATAAGCCTTTCTGTATCGGCGGGTTTGAGCTTCCCTGTTTTGGCACTTGGTAATAAGATTAGCAAGTCAGGAAATGAAGAATGTGATTGGGCTAATAAGATTGGAGATGGAACCAATATTTTCAGAAGATTTTGAAGTATTTTTCAGGTTTTTTTTTTTTAGTTCGATCTCTTATTTCTTTAAATATTTATGATTCTTAACAACTGAAGTTCATTTCGATGCGGGGCTAACGTTGTCTCGCTGGCTTTAAGTTCTCATGGATTGGTCCTCTGTTAGAGAAGTTGAGTAATCACCTCCATGCTCCCCTTGAACTTCTAAGATTGTTTGAATGGGAGATAATCTATGGTCTCTGCCACATCAACTTCAATCTATGACATCCTTTATGAGATTGTAGATAATTTACTTTCTCCTTGTCTGACTAAAGTATAGTTAATGGATTCATAATTTCAGATTGGGAGAGCTTTGTTGTTGATCTGCCAGGATTACCATTCTAGCTGGTAAGTTGCTGAGAAGGGATGTTAAACTAACAATATTTTTCCAGCTTAATGTGTTGTTTTATTAGAATAAACAGGATTTGAGTGTCTAGAAATAAACTTTATATTTAAAATTTAAATTTTGCAAAACAAAGATTGTGCTTCTTTATGAACCAAGCTATGACCTGCAAGTTTTCTGTTCTGTAGCCATAGTTTGTGTTTGGTCCTAGTGTGTTTTTCCCTTAAATGGCATCATTTCTCACACTAAGATACTTGTTTTCTGGTTGAATTTAATGCAAATCATCCTCTACCCTCGGCACTTGCTTATATATGTTCTTTTAACAAATTTCTGTTTTCTTGTTTAACTAGTGCTCATTCCTGATTTTTCCCTCACATAATTTTCTTGCTTATCTTGAGGAGTTTCAGGGATCTAAATGATTTCCCTTTCTTGATCAGCAGTATCTTTGGTCTCTTACAAGGATAACCACTGTAAGTGTCGACTTGGACACAAAGGAATAAGGGGAGTAAGATTCCAATGCACATTTTTCTGAATCTATTACTGCAAAGGAAGAACAAAGGAAAGCAATCTCAGTAGATGAAGGAAAGGCCATATGAGAGCTTTTACAAGAAGTAAGCAAAGAGGTACAATCTTTTACTGTCTAGTAAATAATTCCCTTCATTGCATGATTTTGGTAATAGTATTGGAATGTGGATCTTAATCATGGACTTCTCTCTTGGTGAAATTGGTTTCAGGACTGACTTGCATGGAAATCAGTGAAAATATGAACATTTTAACAAAGAAAACGTCATTGAAACTGAACAAATGGGGATAACCTACAAGCCAGTGCTGCGTGATTAATGGCTGGCTCCTCGCAGCTAAGAGATTACAGACTTGCCTATTTGATGAGCATTCATAATAGAAGTAAAGAGACGGGGTAGATTGAGGCATGAGAACCTGCTGCTTCTCTTGGGATTTTGCATACAATCAAGGGAGAGGCTTTTGGTTTGCAAATGGTTGTCAAAAGGAAGTCTTTCTGATTGGCCACATCCTGAGGAAGGTGAGGCAAGAATAATAGAGTGGCCTACAAGGGTCAAAATTGCAATTGGAGTAGCAAGAGGCTTGGTTTGGCTCCATCACAGGTGCGATTTCCATGTACTACATATTTATATTAGCTCCAGGTGCATCTTAGATAATTTTGTGGTTACACAATGACAGTGAGTGATGTCACTGCAACAAGTTTCTAACATACCCCGATTCATTTTTAAACCAGAGATTCAGTTTTATATATATACCGTTTCATTCATAAATCAGGTACATATACAGTCTTTGGTTCTCCATGGAGTTATCCACGATTTTTCTCCAACTCATCTTGGGAATTAGGTGGGGCTTTTGTTGAAAAATGCTAGTGGAGAAACCTATTCTGATATGAAGATTTAGGTATTTAAATACTTTCACAGTCCAATTACAGCACCTAGCCTATTTATTTTTTTATATTTTTAAAAGGTATAAAAACCGACAAAATGGATAGAGTATTAACTCGTTATATTAAAATTCTCCTTAAATCATAAAACAACAAAGAAGCAGAGTCAAATAAGCAGCCACGCACTACATGAGAGGTGAAATAGGAAGTATTACAGAGCAGAGGTGATGTGGTCAACAAAGCCCCCTGTTCCCTGAAAAAAAAAAAAAAATCTGTTGTATCCCAAAAAAGTACCCCCATTGAGAAAAGAGAGGCTCTTCATGAGACGGAAAATTAAAGGGTAAAAGGAAATATGAGAGCAACACCGTGGGTAATTCAGCAAAGAGGTCCAAAAACATACACAAAGTGAGGCAGTCTCAATTGAATTGTTTACATATGGCCAAAAAAAAAAATTTTTGAATTGTTCACACAAGATGGCAAATCCATTTTGATATCTCTCCTTTCGCCATTTTTGTTGTATCATTTTCTTGATCATTTCTCAACGTAGAATTTCTAACATGGTGAATCACTTTAATCAAAGAAAGAAAAGTAGAAAAGGGTGGGGTACTCTGCCCTGGTCAATTATTTACGTTAGGGTCAAGAATAGTTGGTAATTGCGAGTTGAAAAATATGTAACGTCAAAATTTTGACATAAATTTTAATTCAATACAAAAATATAGGAGTAATTGATTCTATCAAAATTT